CTTGCCTAATGTGAGCATAGGCTACACAGCCAAATACTCTTAGTTTGTCGAGATCTGGTGGATGTCCCGACCAAACTTCTTCAGGTGTCTTCATATCTAACGCTGTCGAAGGACATCTGTTTATCAGATATGCTGCTGTCGAAACAGCCTCAGCCCAAAACACCTTCTTTAATCCCGCACTAGTCAACATGCATCTAACTCTCTCCAAAATAGTTCGATTAAACCTTTCAGCCAAACCATTTTGTTGTGGAGTACCTGCGGTAGTTCTGTGCCTTGCAATACCAGAGGCAACACAAAAACTATCGAACGCCTCATTGCAAAACTCAAGGCCATTGTCGGTTCTCAACCTCTTTACCTTTCTGCCAGTTTGATTTTCGACAAGAGTCTTCCAACTTTTGAAATTCTCAAAAGTTTCATCCTTAGTCTTCTGGATGAATACCCATAACTTTCTGGAATAGTCATCTACTATGGATAGAAAATACTTTGCTCCTGAATGTGATGGACACCTTGCAGGCCCCCAAAGATCAGCATGGATGTAATCAAGGGATCCATGTGTTCTTTGTTTGCCTTTGTTGAACTTCATTCTACAGGACTTTCCAAGTACACAGGGTTCACAAAACTTCAGCTTTTCGACTTTATCTCCACCAAGCAGATTTTGTTTCCCTAATTCAACCAGACCCCTTTCACTGACATGGCCCAATCTCATGTGCCAAATTTCTGTTTTCGACAAAGGTTTCGTGGATGCAACATTTGTCGAACCACTTACAACTTCAGCCTCAAGGGTATACAAGCCTTGTTTCTTCACGCCTCTCAAGACTTCCTTCGACCCTTTCATGACTCTTAGGATACTTTTCTCTCCTTGAAAAACATATCCTTTCTTGTCGAATTCACCAAGAGAAATCAAATTTCTCTTCAAATCAGGTACATACCTGACTTTAGTCAACAATCTTATTGACTCATCATGGAGCTTGAATCTCACAGATCCAACGCCTGCAATCTTGCAAGCTTTGTTGTTTCCCAGCAATACAGATCCACCATCTTGATCACATAATTCCTCGAACAAGTCTTTGTTTGGAGTCATGTGCCAAGTGCATCCAGAATCCATAATCCATTCCTTCGACGAGTTTTTGCTTGAAACCACAAGAACATCAGATGATTCGAAATCATCTTGGACAATAGCTGCGTTGCCATTATCCTTACCTCCATGATCTTTCAGGCGTTCAGGGCACACCTTTCTTGTGTGACCTACTTTCTTACAGTGATAGCATCTAATACCAGATGCATCACCACTATAAGACTTCGACTGATGTTTACCTTTCCTCTTGTCGAATTTTCCTTTAACAGCCAAACCTTCACCAACCGTCGAAGGTTTATGCTCCTTACGTTCGTTCAAGTCCTTAGAGTACAAAGCTGATTGAACTTCTTCAAAGGTCAGGGACTCTCTTCCATACAAGAGGGTTTCTTTGAAGTGAGCATGTGATCTGGGCAAAGCGCACAACAATAACAGCGCTTGATCTTCATCATCAATCTTTACATCAATATTTTCAAGATCAAGAATCAGTTTGTTGAACATATCCAACTGCTCAGCCAACACTTTGTCTTCAATCATCTTGAATGAATACAAAGCTTGCTTCAGGTAGAGTCGATTTACCAGAGATTTGGTCATATACAAACTTTCAAGTTTCACCCATAACCCTGATGCCGTCGTCTCCTTTGATACCTGTCGAAGAACCTTATCACCAAGGCTCAACAAAATTGCGCTGTGTGCTTTCTCGATCATGGCCGTCTTCTCTCTTTCTGTTAACGCAGCGTCCATCGCCGTCGCTCCCTTCAACGCTTCCAAGCAACCCTGCTGAACCAGTAGGGCTTTCATCTTTAAGCGCCATAGACCGAAATCATTCACACCGGTGAACTTTTCAATCTCATACTTTGTTGAAGGCATCTTCTCCACGCTCACCGCACCAATTTGTTGTGAATTCAATGCCAATAACAAAGTATAGAATAAGGGAAGAATAAAGAACAAGGAAGAAGAAGAACACAAGAATTGGTTATAACTGCTATTCTTTACTTTCTCTTAGAAAACAAGATTACAAGTTTACAAGAATAACAAATAACCCTCTCACCCTAAATTAGGATTTGCTGTGTTGCAATGATGAGAGACTAGTATGCTATTTATAATAAAACCTAACATACTAACTAATGGGCTTTTTCCACAAGGCCCATTATACAAGCTAACTTAAGAAACAAGCTAACTTAACAAATTAGGGTTTAAACACTAAAACCTAATTTAACAAGTATCTTCGACAAATACATGCTAGACCCTTTCTTCGACTACAGCATGTACTTCGATCATGCTAGAGTTCGATCCAAAATCCCACACTTTATGTTAAGACATCAGCGTTGTTTATCAAAATCAAAAAGTAAATAACCACTTTATCATCTGCTCTTTCAAGGTTCGTGTGAAGAGAATTTGCTTCAAAGGTTTATGTGCAGACCATTATTAAATGAGCTATAAAATAGCGTTGTAGTTTCCTTAAAGCTACTACTAGAGTAAAATATTCTCCAATATTTTGGAAGCACATTTCAGGACTTACCAACACTTTAGAAATAAAATATATTGGATTATAGATAGTGCCTACCCCTCTTACAAGGAAAACACCTATTCTTATGCTAAGATTACAAAATATATCAACATCTCCTCGATCGGTCACAAGCCTCAATAAGACCATGGATTTAGAGAGGACGTGCTTCAATTGTGTGAAGGCTTGCTCACACTCTAGCATCCATTTAAATTACACCAACATAAAATGTATTCAAAATATATAATATTTTAAAAATAAAGGAAATTGAATTTTCATTTGTAAATAAGTTATATCATATATAAGTTTTAACAATTTTTATTTGAAAAATTAAATTTTTTTAAATATAATTTGATTCATTTCAAATATACTTACATATGTGTCATACACACACTTATCTAATATAAGAGAGAAATTAAAATTTCAAAATATTATATATATATATATGCCTAATTCAAGCAATGCGGCTTATAAAAAAAAATAAAAATTCAAGCAATGCAGAATTTCTTAACTAGTTGTATTATGAAGTCTCAAAACTGAAGAGTATTATAGGATATTAATTTGGTTTTAATTAGAAAAAATAATCTTATAGTAATATCCTTAGGTTTAATATTTGTTTTTAAATTTATAAGAAAAATAATTTCTTTATAAATAAAACAAATAGTAATTTAAAAATATTAATGATTATCTAAAAAATATTCGGTTGATAAATTAAAAATATATATTTTAACATAAAGAAATTGAGAATATAACTGTTATATTTTTTAAGGCAATAAAGGTATTATATCTTTTGATATCCAATAAAGGTGTTATATAATAGCATGGATTAGTTTTTTTATTTTATTGTTGAAGGTAATAATAAATATTAAAAAAAATTGAGATTAGGACTATGTTCTCCAAAAGGTAAGGAGCACATTCAAAAAGGTAATGACAAATTCTTAATTAGTTTTTTCTTCGACTAAGAGAGTTTTTTAAATTAATTTTTTTTCATAATTTCATAAAATTGTTTGGAAATTGCCACCAAAAAAAGATTTGTTTGGGAGGATCTTTCGCAAAGAAAGAAAGTTGTTAATAAATATTTAAACTTAAAAAACAAAATTGTCTGAATTATTTGTTTGTTTTCTTCCCTTTTCCAATCTTCATAGGTAGTATATGTCAAATAATTTAGGCTTAATTAAATAGAAATATTTTTTTTTGATTAGTATAGAAAATAAGATAAGAATTTAAATAATGAACATCTAATTCTGGCCATATATGTGTACCAAGAAAATCAAAACAGATTTTCTTAACAATAATCTAAATAAGATCAATAATTAGATTGTGAAATCTAATCCAATATTATAGATAAATTAGAGTTATATATATATATATATATATATATATATAAATCTTAATCGAAATCTATATACAACTTTAAAATTTTTATTCTATTTTCTTCAAGTGGTTTGTCAAAAACACTTCGTCTTCATTGCTAGTATATTCATGGAAACCTTCTTCAACTTTCGTGCGCATCCAACTCACGAACCAATCGAATCTACACATAATATTCATGATTTTAGAAAATATTTCTTCATTGATTTTGAGTTCAACCACGCTAATTTACCTTTTCAATCCAATGTCACGACCTCTCTATCCGACTTTACAACTACAATCAGAGAAGTAGTGACGATTCCTATTGAAATCTTATGTAATTGTATGGAAGGAGATCATACTAGTGTTTTGTATGATAAATTTTCTTTTGTGCCGATTGATATATTAGATGCAATTCTACAAAATATGGAAGAATGTGCTAGACAAATGGTTGCACACTTCGGTGAAGAACATGACATATTAGAGATGAATATGCACCTTTTTGCCATAACACCAATTGAAGAGGAGGAAGAAGATCTTAGAAATCAAGATGATTATGGTCAAGCCCAACAAATTGTTGATTTGATGGAGAAATTTGAAATTTGTTATCTTTTTTCTGACTCAATTGAACAATGTTCTATTTGTTTGGAGGAATTTTGTACTAAGTCTGAACTTGTTCGAACAAAATGCTCTCATGTTTTTCATAAAAATTGTATTGTCTCATGGATCCAACAATGTATTAACCGTACATCAACTCACACTTGTCCATTGTGTCGACGTTTATTATGAATATTTATGAAAATAATTATTGATTATCTTTGTTCTCTTATTTCTTAGTGTACATTGATCTTCAATTGTAACTATTTAAGTTAAAGATACTATTATCCAATTATTTGAGTGAATTTTGATTTCTTTTATTCTAATTTTATGATATATATATATATATATATATATATATATATATATATATATATATATATATATATATATATATATATATATATATATATATATATATATATATATATATATATATATATATATATATATAATTTTGATCTCTCTCTGAGCATGGGTTCTTTTAACGACGGCGTTCCAGAACTAGAACAGTGCCTTCTTCAGGTTCTCTTCTTCTTTCCTCCTAATTCACACATTTCTTTTCTTTTTCCATGAATAGATAAACGTGTTTAACAAATTTGTTTGCATACCTTAATCATGAGGTAGTTGTTTTTATTATATGGTTATCAAAGATTAATCCATTTCACCACCACGTCTTAACGATACAACTTAACAGTCATATAACAACAATCACTCAACTGTTTTTCAGTTTCACTCTCTATTTTCAACTTATTAAACACACATGCAAATATTTTTAGTTATATGAGAGTTTAAGGTGAAATGATTTATGTTTGGATTCATTCTTATGAAGCTAAGTTGAACAATAAATTTGAGCGTAAAAATCACAAATAAAGGCAAAAGTTACAGACATTTTTAGAGGAAAAATCATTCTTATTCCATCTGAATCCTTAAAAGGGGATTTGGATTCTCTATTGTTGCAATTCCAGGCTTAAGCTGTCACTCATATCGGCAGTTGGATGAGGATGGATTGTATTTTTAGTTGTATTCTAAATCTGAAAACGATTTGGTGAAGTTCAAATACGACTCAGCTGATTTCATCCAATGGCTGAGATCTGTTGGCTGTAGCAACTACATGTCAGGGAATCCGAGTCCTAAAAAAAGTAGTATTTTGCTTTGAGATATCATTTTTGTTTTATTTCTTAAGGATGAAAGGAACAAACAATACACAGGAGATGGTTCGGTTGATTTTAGAGGGAAGCCTGCTATTAAGCATGACACTGGCAATTGGAGAGCTTGTCCATTTATTCTAGGTATGCCTTTTTTTACATCGCCTTAAGGTTTCATGTTTTCGATGATCCATTTTCATTTATGTAAATGACAGGCAATGAATGTTGCGAACGTCTAGCTTTCTTTGGCATTTCAACAAACCTTGTTACCTATCTTACCACCAAACTACATGAAGGAAACGTCTCTGCCGCGAGAAATGTCGGTGTCTGGCAAGGAACTTGTTATCTTACACCTCTCATTGGAGCTGTTCTCGCAGATGGTTACTGGGGACGATACTGGACAATTGCTATTTTCTCTATGATTTATTTCCTTGTAATACACTTAACATACATTTCTTATCCTTGTAGGCATTTTATTATGTCATACTGATATGGCTGTATCTTGCAGGGGATGTCTATCTTGACTATTTCTGCATCTCTTCCATCATTGAAGCCAGCTGAGTGTTTGGGTTCGGTATGTCCTCCGGCTAGTCCTCTGCAATATTATCTGCTCTATTTTGGTCTCTATGTAATTGCACTTGGGACTGGTGGTGTAAAAGCATGTGTGTCATCTTTTGGGGCAGATCAGTTTGATGACACTGATTCCAAAGAAAGGGCCAGGAAGGCTTCCTTTTTCAACTGGTATTACTTTTCTATCATGCTAGGTGCCACTGTGTCATGTTCCTTCATTGTGTGGGTTCAAGATAATGCAGGATGGGGTCTTGGATTTGCCATTCCTGCTTTATTCATGGGGTTATCCGTTGGAAGTTTCTTTTTAGGTACCTCTCTATACAGGTTTCAAAAACCAAGAGGTAGTCCTATTACAAGAATGTGCCAGGTTGTGTTAGCATCTGTCTGAAAGCGGAAGTTGGTTGTGCCGGAGGATAGTAGTCTTCTGTATGAGATACCTGACAAGAAATCGGGAGTTGAAGGAAGTCGCAAACTGATGCATCGTGATGATCTGAGGTAATGTTTTTACTTTGAGCATTGTTTTCTGCCCTAGTGTTATTGGCTTTATTCATTGTTCTGATATAGGCAAAGGAGTATCTTGTATATGTTGAATTTCTATATAATATTCTTGTTTATGTGCATTTTTGTCTGATGCTAAATGTTATAGGAGTTGTTTAGGTTTAATTTGTGCAGCTACGCTGCTGATATTGCTTTGTAGCTATTATTTGTATAATTTTAAAATAAGACAAACTACATTATTATTAGACACAGGGCACAAATGCGGCCTTGAAAGAGATGGGAGGAGAAATGATTCAGTATACCACAAACAATTATTCATTATATTTGAACCCTAATATATGCATGACTCATATTTGCTAATAATATTTTGTTAATAATGACTGAAGGATATACCTTATAAAACTCTTTTTTTGTGTTTAAATAAAGGTATTTTGATAGAGCAACTGTAGTGTCTGATTCAGAGAACAGAAGTGGGGACTACTCTAACCCATGGAGGCTTTGCACTGTTTCACAGGTGGAAGAATTGAAAATATTGATTCGCATGATTCCAATTTGGGCTACTGGAATAATTTTTTCTGCTGTCTACGCCCAGATGTCCACAAGGAACTATGATGGATACAAATGTTAGTTCTTTCAAATTATCCCCAGTTTCCCTCTCAACCTTCGATGTGGCAAGTGTTGTTTTTTAGGTCCCCGTCTATGACAGGATACTTGTTTCTATTGCAAGGAAAATCACGGGCAAGAAAAGGGGCATTTCCGTGTTTCAAAGAATGGGAATTGGCCTCTTTATTTCTGGGTTGTGCATGTTATCAGCTGCAATTGTGGAGATTAAGCGTCTCCAACTTACAAGAAAGCTTGACCTTATTGATAAACCCGTTGCCATACCCCTTGGTGTATTATGGAAAATACCTCAATATTTCTTATTAGGCGCATGGGCAGATTGAGTTCTTCTATGACGAATCACCAGATGCTATGCAGACTTTGTGTAGCGCACTGCCACTCCTGAGTTTTTCATTTGGGAATTACTTGAGCTCTTTCATGCTTACTATAGTAACTTATTTCACTACACGAGGTGGAAAGCTTGGATAGATTCCTGATAACTTGAACAAGGGACATCTTGATTACTTTTTTCTTCTTTATCTGGACTTAGCATATTAAATATGTTGACGTACATAATTGCCGCCAAAATGTACAAGCAGAAGAAGATTTCTTAAGATTTTTCAAGCGCTTATTGCTCATACGAGTGGAAGCATGATCTGATATTTCCTTCATTCATTGTTGATATTGTTCTGTAAGATAAATATGTATATGCTAATTGGGAATGAAGTTTGGGAAAATGGATAGTATGGGTTTTTGGATCTTACCGTTTTGTACATAACTACAATTGAAGATCAGACGAACCCCTGGCATTGAAAGGCTAATTCAAAGACATGTTGGTCAAGCAGACAGGAAGTTATTCAACTACATATGGTTCAGTTTAGGAGGAAATAAAATAAGGGGGAATCATAGCTCAGAAAAAGAAAACTTTTAAAATCCTGTTATTTTGAGTTCGAAAGATTGATAAAATTATGCCGACTCAAGTGAATCTGTTCTAATTTGTTGGAAATTCACCAAATATCTATGATGAATTTCTATCAATCTTGATAAACAAGATTGATATGACCACACAATGACAATGAATTATGAAAAAAAGAAAAGAAAGAAGACAATTATTTTCTGCAGAGTATCTCTCTGCCCACAAACTATAGAAAACTTTATTATTCAGTTTGCAACTGCAAAATTCTGTGAATACAATTTGATTGACTTAATTACAAAATTAAGGGTTACTCTCTCTATTTATAGATTTAGGTTAGCCTGCTCCCTAATGTAGCGGTAGAAATGTTTCAAGACTAAGTCATTGGATTGACTAGACTTTATACAAATCAAAAATAAAAATCGTCACCGCGCTTTATTGTTTCCAAAGGAATGAGAAAAGAGTGAATAACCCAAAAAAGGGGAAAGATTCAAGGTAAGGGGGTTGGTTATGCAAATGGAAGGTATTAGCACCCTAAACATCCACGGTACTCCGTAGGAACCTCTTTGTAAAATCTGTATATTTTGACTATAAAATGTGTTGTATATAAAATGGATGGTGGAGGTGAGAAAAGAAATATATATTTTTAATGATTTTTGCACCCGCCGCGGTTGCGAACCTTTAGTGCCTACGTACCACCTTTCGTGCAATAGAGGATCAGGGTACATGTAGTTCCTCTTTAAAAATTTTAAAAACACAAGTGTGTTGGTTAATTTTATGAGATAAGACATCATTGTCATTGTCCGTGTGGAAAACATACTTACTACCCACAATCATGAGAAAGGAGAATTTGCATCATCTCAAAGTGGAGGATATGACTTGGATTTTAAAATCAACAATGCCTCACTCAACACCCAAGTGAAAAATATCTCACTTCACTACATATTGTAGAAGTATAGTTGTTGCATCACTACAAGGATTGACAAGAGTCTAATCTTTTAAGAAAAGTTAAAGGTAAAAGCCAAAGTGGCAAAATGATTTGAAATGAGATTGATTGAGTTTTAGTCTTCTCACAAAAATGTCAAGGTATTGTTAAGTTGATTGAAGTTTATTTATGAAAATGCTTTGAAAATGCATGGACCTAAGTCCAAGTTTATTATGAAAGTGGTTTATGTTTCAAAACAAGAAGGATTTTCAAAAGGAGGGAGAAGATTTTTGAAATTAAAGAAGATGGGAGGAGTAGAAGAGACTATCCTAAAGCATAAGGTAAAAGCTAAGGAAAAGGACCATCTAACCAACAAGAAGTCAAAACTTGACATTATGAGCCAAGATAGAATTCTCATTCTTTGTATTGAAACCAAGCAAGCAAAGATACTAGACCTCTTGAGAGAACCAAACTTCAAGTGTATTAAGTCTTCACAAAAACTAGGCAGAGTAACAGTTGTATACGGGTGAATTCCAGATTACAAACAGAGAATGTAATCACAAAAACCTGCACACAAAAACAAACAAGCAACCCAATGTCTTGAGGTAAACCTCAAGAACTCTAGATAAAATAATCAGATAAGATCACAAGGTCTCCAAGATAGGCCAAGGTTTCTACTCCTAAGTCCAAGAAAAAGTCTCATGCTCTATAATGCCAAGGATAGTAACCAAATAGTCCAAGTGCCATTAAAGATTTTTTAGGGTTTGTGTTGATTATTAAGTGTCTTAAGAAAGGAAAAGAAAAGCTCAAGTGAGCAAAGTAAAAATGGCAAGAAAATAAATGCTCAAATGAGCAAAGATGAAAATGACATGAAATGTAAATGCTAAAAGTAAATAGTACATAAAGCATAAAAAAGAATAAAAGCATAAGGTAAAATAAGTCAATAATTAGTGGTTAGTTGGATGACCATCTTGAAACTTGCATTTGGAACTCATTAGAGGATTGGTAGAATCAAAACCTCCACACAACAAGTTGCATTTGCTTTTTGTCAAATATATCATCCATTTGAAATTCTCACAAGTACCATTTAATGATCAACGGTGTTTAAGTGATCCGCGTTGACCAAAGGTGTTGTAGATTCATTAGAGGATTGGTAGAACCAAAGCCTCCACACAATGAATCTCAAAGTTATTGGATCAAAGAGATCAAATTAACATACTTGGGCTTACAATCATAAGTTTTGGCCACGAATGATCATTTATTCGAATCGGGACAAAATTTAGCGATACGTTAAGCATGTAGGGGCAATTCTGAGGAGAGAGCATTTTACTTGGGACACACCTTTGTGAGAGACACACCACTTGTCCATCTAAAACCTTAAGGTGATAGATGAGTGGGTTCTCTCATATATAAGTGCTCAATCTTCCCTTTTATAATCAATGTGGGACTTCTTCCTCACACTTGATTCTCAACACTCCCCCTAAAGTGTGAGTCACAATGCTCCCCCTCATGTGGAATGACTCTCTTCCACATACACTTGTACCACCACTCGATACAAGTAAGCCGGTCCCTATCTCTAAACCAAAGGCTCTGATACCACTGTATGGGCAATTCCGAGGAGAGAGCATTTTACTTGGGACACACCTTTGTGAGAGACACACCACTTGTCCATCTAAAATCTTAAGGTGATATATGAGTGGGTTCTCTCATATATAAGTGTTCAATCTTCCCTTTTATAATCAATGTGGGACTTCTTCCTCACACTTGAGTCTCAACAAAGCAATCGTAAGTGGACTTATATAGAAGTCGCACTTATTTTGAGGCCGGTCAATAGCAATCTATACACCATTGGTTTTGAGACATGATATAGAGATCATGCTCCAACAATATTTAGTGCAATGAGAAGGGGATGAGATGAAAAGGAGTTAGGGTAAAAAGAGAAATCACATTTGAATTAATATTTAATCAAACTATTATTAAAATCATTCATCCATTTTGTGCAGTTAAACTCAACACCATGGATCCAATGATGTTAATAAAGCCATCACTAAAAAATCAACCTAAGACAGCCAGAAAATATTCACAAAATAATAATATAATTAATATATACATTAAAAGGTTTTAAAATGTTAAAAAAAAAAGGAAAACAATGAAGAAAATGCCAATTATATTCAAATTAATCAAGAAATGAAAAATAAGATCATAGAAAAATCAGAAAAGAGGCCAAGTGATTTTATAAAATTTTTGGGAATTTTTAAAAGTCAGAAACTATTTTTAAAAATTAAAATAAATGGGTAAAATAAACAAAAATAGTAAAGTCAGAAACAAAAATAAAATAAGGTCACCAATATTTGTCACAATATCATTGGATCATCCCATAATTTTTTCAGAATTTAAAAATGTGTAAAAGTATTTTTAAACATTTTAAACAAATCAAATAAGTGTTAAATTCATAAAAAATACCAAAACATAAAATTAAATTGTGAAAAAATAAAAATCAGAAAGAATAATCAAAAATATTTTTCATAATTTTTTCAGATTTTTTGGACAAAAAATGAATTTTCTGTGATTTTTTGAAATTTAAAACAATTAAAATATAAAAATCAGAAAAAGAAAATAAAAGAAAAAGATGTGGACCATTGGATGAGAGTCAAAACACGTTAGTAATCAAATCCAAGGGATCTGACGCGCTGTGCATATCATGGTCTTTAATGAATAATGTATAGAATCATTAATAAAATCAGAATTTGAAAATAACAAATGTCACGTTTTCATTGGTTAGAAGATGACACGTTGGTCATCTTCAACCTCCATCCCTCATGAATTGCAAGTCTCTCAAACTGTAAAATCAGAAGCCCAGACCTATGCCATTCGCTTCGTCTCTTCAAGATGAAGACAACCACACCTTCGCGCCAAGTTTATATAAATTGTAGCTCAAGCAATTTGGAAAGAAAGTTTTGAAAAGGGATTTGAAAATTAATGGTCAAAATGTGCTTCCAGATGAAAGTAAATGTTGCGACTAGAACCAAGGCAATGAGAGCAACACAATGATACCAAAGTTTTGAAGAATTGATGAAGGAATCTACCTATTGAAGTTGAGTTGCAGAGCTCTGAAACTGGACTTCTATGGAGCAATATAGGGCTCGATTCTTGAATGTAATTATATGGTTAGCTTCAGGGAAGATCAAGGAAGGTGAATTGATGGAAAAAATGGATTGAAAAAGGCTTGAGAATAGGATTCGAAGTAGCTAAATTCTGAGTTGTGAAGCAAGTTTGGCAGGGTGATTCTGGCTATCTAAGCTTGAGAAATTGAATGGGGGATGACCCTCTATTTATAGGGAATCAAATGGAATGTTCAAGCGTGTGAAATGATGAAGTTTGGAGGGAAATCGTGTGAAACTGATGCACGAGCAAAGTGTGATCTGATTTGCATCAAAACTCATCTAATCCTTGCGTTTCAAAGCTCTAATCCACTTTGACAATTTGGTTAAACATGTTTAGATCACAAACGCGTGCTAATTTGATGTTTAAAGGCCAAAACATGAATTTCAAATTCAGACTTATGGAGAAACTTCAGTTCCAAGTTACCAAGTTTAATCCAATGGCATTTCCACCTCAAGGGGTCTTAGGGCAAAATTCTTGATGCTTTGAAAAGATGAGGTAACAAGCTTTGCAATGGAAAAATAATGGAATCAAATGGATGCTTGAGATGAAATTTACATGGAGTCAAAGTTGAAGAAAAAGAGTTGACTTTCCATACTTAGAAATATTTCAAA